GAGGCCTCGAAGAGGAGGCCAGCTGCCAGGCCTGAGGCTGGCGTTCAGGCGGGTGGTGTCTGGGGGGGGCCTGGGCCCCTTCCTCAGGTGGCACTTAACCTCTGCGAAGGTGGCCGCTGGGAGTGCCCGCTCCCGTCTTCCCGGGACCCCTCAGGGCCCCGCCTTGCCAGCACGCTGTCACTCACGTCTTCAAGCACTGGAAGAGCAAGCCCGGGACAGACTAGAACGTACCAAGTAGTAAACATTGAAAACATGCCCTCGCCGGTTTGGCTCAGTGGGTAGAGCATCAGCTTGTGGACCGAAGGGTCCCAGGTTGGATTCTGGTCAAGGGCACATCCTGGCACCTGGATTGCAGGCTCGATCCCCAGTAGGGGGAGTGCAGGAGGCAGCGGATCCGTGATTCTCTCTCATCATTGATGTTTCTCTCGCTCTCTCCCTTTCCCCTCCTCTCACTGAAACCAATAAAAATAGACTTTTTTTTTTTTTTTAAGAGAAATGATCCCCACCCAAAGGGTTCCTGAGATGCTGAGAGCAGGTGATTTCCATCGAGCGATCCCACCTGGCAGAGGCCACCGAGGGGGGTCGCAGCGCGCCCACGCTCAGCTTTTCTAAGGAGTCCATCTCTCTCTCCCCCGGCCAGGGGGGAAGGCGGCGTGATGACGTGATGGGTGACTTCTGCTGGTTGAACAGCAGCGGTCCCGGGGCGGGCGGTGCGGGCGAGGGGCATCCGTCACCCACCACACGCCGGCCGCGTGACTCTGTCCGCGTGACTCTGGCCGCGATCCAGCCGCCGGGAAGGGCGGCGTTTGCCGAACGTGGGCGAGTCCTTCTTCTCCAGGGAGCCGGCCCGGCGGGCGGGGCGCGATGTCAGCCGACACGCGTGTCCTCACTTCTCTCTGACAAACCGAATTCATTCCTTACGTAATTGATAACGGCCCGGGCCAATTACTCCGCACATTACAATACACAGAGGCCCCCTTCCGGGTTCTGCGGGGCTGTAATTAGCTATGCTAATATCCCCTTTATTGGCCCTAATATTGCTCAACACCTTTCGCCATCGCGGACCCCACGAGAGCCCCGTGGCCTGTCAGGACCACTGATTATTGAGAAGGATGGCTTTAATCAAACGTAATTGCAGCTAATTTTTCCTCTCCTGCTCTCGGTTGCCAGCGTCGAATGCCGAGGACTCCTTGATATTCCATTAAATTACAATTAAACGGCCTCCTTTGTTTCCGAGCGTCCTGCGTGCGCCACGCCACGAAGTTGTGGGGCGGCGTGCGGGGGCGCCGCGCGGCCCTAATTGCCCGCGCGCGCGCAGAGGGCCAATTTGCACAATGCCCATGTAGAATTTAAGCAGTTCACGGCGTAATGGATATTACACAGGAGCCTCGCGCCACAATTAAAATGATTTTCATCAGGCAGAGAGGCTCTGGTTAATCAGCTTCATAAAAGTAAATATAAATGAACTCATTCACGGCTTAAACACACAGAGAGGGGAGCCAGCTTCCGGATAAGTTACGGCGGCGGTGGGGTGGCTACTGCGGCCCCACTTCCGACGCCCCAGCCCCCGGTCCGGTGTGGGCCCCGGGTTCTGCTGTGCAGCGCCCCCCTCCTCTTGGGCGTTGTCCGAGTGCATTCTGAAACAGTTACCATCAGGATCTCACTTTTTAAAAAAAAATATATTTTATTGATTTTTCACAGAGAGGAAGAGAGAGGGATAGAGAGTTAGATTCTCTCTCGATGAGAGAATCACCGATCAGCCCCCCCCTGCACACCCCCTACTGGGGATGTGCCTGCAACCAAGGCACATGCCCTTAGACCGGAATCGAACCTGGGACCTTTCAGTCCGCAGACCGACGCTCTATCCACTGAGCCAAACCGGTTTTGGTCAGGATCCCACTTTTAAGTCGCCCAGGAGCAGGAAGTCAGGGTCCGGGCGCCATGACATCACACCATCTCGCCTTCTCGCCCGCCCAGGAGGACATCCTTCCGGGGACAGAGCGGGCCGGTTCTGAGCAGAACGGGACGGGGCCGTGTGCCCTGTGGTCGCCGCGGCTGCCTCCCGCCGGCCGGGGAGAAACGAGTAAATAAAGCCCATATTTCAAGCTTGATTTACTCCGGTGCCTACTGTGAAAGATGACGGCTCTGCAGGGAAATAAAGCCGGGGTCAGGGAATTAGTGTACATAATGCTCATTCTGACGACGGGCCAGCGGCGGCCACAGGAAACACACTGCACACAATTAGGCATAATGTCCTAATGACAGGTCCGGGCGTTTACCACCCGGCCATTGAGCCGCCCGCCCGCGCTGAGCCGTGATGGAGAGTTGATCGGTGCGGACGCCGAAGATTTTCTGACAGGGCAGGGACTCCCCCTTTCTTCACCAGAGGATTAAACTCTTTGTGTCCCGGCCTCGGGAAGGAAGATAGGGAAAGGGATGCTTCCAAGGGAAAAAAAGCCCATGGAAGGGTCACTGAGGAAAGAGCGAGAATTACCATCGGGCCTTCGGTGTCCTCACTGCCCTCCCCAAACATGGTCCCAGGGAGTCACACCGGGCACTGCTGCTCCGTGTGCTCAGACACACCTGTGTGCCAGGCCTGCGGTCAGCGGGCCAGCCAGCCTGGGCCGTCCGCCTCCCGGAGGCTCGGCTGAACCCCTGAGTCTGTCGTTACCCAGACGAGGGTCACACGTGGGCGTGGACTCCCCGCCTCCTGCCCAGCTGCCTCTGTCTGTCCCTGTGCATGTTCCCCTCCACTGGGCGTGTGCCCCCGGACCTGCATCCTTCAGGGGACCCTGCTTCCCAGGACCACATGCTCCAGACCTTTCCCAGGTCCCTGCTAAGTGCAGTGTGGGTGAGCGCACCTGCCCGGAGGGAGTCCACCCCGGAGGGTACCGAGCGCCCGACTCCGGCTCTTTCTGCACCGAGGACGGCGGAGGCCCCGCTGGTCCTTGTGCTGGACGAGGCGGAGGCTGGCTGGGCGACCTTCAAGCCCCTCGGAGACCGGGCGGGAAGGACTGGGAGGAACCGAAGAGGCTCCTCAGGAGGGGGCGTCTCTCTTCCGGCACAGAAGGCGCCCCCGGAGCCGGCTCCACAGGACCAGCCGCCCGTCCTCTCCTCGGCGGCGGCGGGCGCCTGCTCGGAGATTAGCCGGCTGGTAATGGGCGGCATAATTGCCCCGCGCGGCCGTCCCCGAAGTGGAAACCTAATTGCCTGCGAGGACGATAACTCGGTGCCGCCCTCACCTTGTTAGGCCCCGTCGGATGCAGTTCAAGTGCGGGGCGGCCGCAGGTGCGCCCAATTTACCTCGCCGCCGCGCGTGGCGCCTAATTGCGGGGCCGTTAGGGGGAACGGGTGGGTGGAATTTCAAGTGGCTGGTGGCGGGGCCGGCGGCAGATGGTGCTCCGAGGCTCCGTGCGCCGCCGTGGAGGTGAGGTGAGTTAATAAAAGATGTAAATTCCGGCCTAAAATGGCGAGATGTAAGGACGTTTAATTAAGCGGTCTCCACTCTCCCGCCGCCATCCCCTGGAGCTTCTGCTGGGACGGAGGGAGCGGCGTCCAGGGTCCAAGGGGCCGGGACCTCGGTCTGTGGGGTGTGACGCATGCCCGCCAGGAGCCCTGAGCTTCAGGTTGGTTCAGGGAAGCCATGGGGAACCTTCCAGGAATGTAAGGCGGGTGGTCTTCGGGGAGCAGCGAGGGAAGGTGCAGGTGCTGTCTTACAGGTGGGCGGGACGCTCAGACTCCCGGAGAGAGAGAGGGAGCGCCCTGGCCGTGGCCTCCTTCAGGTGAGGCCGGGGGCTCAGGCCCCAGACCCCGTTGCCCCGGGCCCGGGGCCGCAGCCAAGCCCCCCTGCCTGTACTGTGAGCCAGAGCACCGGCGCCTGTCACGGAGCGGCACGGAGGGATGGGGAGGACGACATGATGCTGCTGCTGTCACGGCAGCTCAGCGCGCTGTCAGGACCACGTCTTCCTGCCTCTCCACGCGAGGGGAGGCTCGGAGGGAGCTAATGAGCTGGGGCTGGCCCCAGATAGCGTCGTTCCCGTCCCCCCTTCCCCCCGTCACTGTCCTGTTGAGGGTCGTTGATGACTCCCTTAAAGACACACGTAGGCCTTTCTCAGACGTCATGGTCACTCCAGGACAACACCCCCAGTTGTTCTTTTTATTAAGAGTTGTACCTCTTGTAAGCTTAAACACGCATCTTGGCTAAGGTGACCGGATGTCCGGACTTTTTTAAAACGCCTTGGTACGCGGGACAGATTGTTAAAAACCGGGACTGTCCCGCCAAAAGCGGGACGTCTGGTCACCTTAATCTTGGCCTTGGTCGTTATGGCTCAGTTGGTTGGAGTGTCATCGGTACACGAAACGTTGTGGGTGGAATTCCTGGTCAGCGCACATACCTAGGGTTAAGGGTTTGATCCCGGTCGGCTCTCACATCAGTGTTTCTCTCTCTCTCGTCAATAATCCTGTCCTTGGGTGCTGGTCAAAAAGCATCTTGAAAAGTGCGTTTGTGTAGCTGGTGATGTCTTCTGGGGTTGGGGCCGCCCGAGAGAGGCAGGTCCAGGGAAATTTGAATTTCAAGGCACAGTGAATAACTTTTCAGGATGGGCATGTCCCATCGTGCACCTCGCCCAAAGGCCCTGCTGTTTGTCCAAAACTCCAGTGTGACCAGGCGTCCGGGGTTCCATTGGCTGACACTGCTGGTCCCTCTGGGGAGGGCGGGGCCCTAATGGGTCATGGCCGCCGGTGCGAAGATCTAGGCGAGAGACCGCCCCCAGTGCAAGTCACGATGGTTCTACTAAAACGTGGAAACCCATCCTGTCCAGACCAACGGAAGTCGCTGCTTTCAGGTGAAGACCGTCCACGCTGGCTGTTAGCAGGGCAGCGAGCTGGCGGGTGTGGAGCAGCCCCCACCACACCCCAGCAAGAGTGTCTTCGAAAGGTGTTCGTCTGGTGTCTAATAACCCTAACAATTACTTTTTTTTTTTTTTTTTGTATTTTTGTAGATTCTTTCTAAAGTTTTTCCTCAAGTGCAATCAGAACTGTTTGAAGAATGCAGGCAACCCTCGAGATATGCGGAGATTCCAGGTACACCCTCGTCCCAGACCCGCAAAGTTTGAATTCTCTGATGTTGCAGCTGTTCTGAAAACGATCGTTGTTAGTTCTCAAGGGCGTGGGAGTAAACCAAAGCCCTTAAATCAAACGCTTTAAACACGATCGGCGTCTTCAGGACGCCAGATGCATTGCATCCATCCATCCACCCACCCGCTCATGGCCCAGGAGGCACTGCAGACATGACCCGTGTTTGTGCCCTGAGGACCGGGCGTCAGCTGCCAGAGCTGTGCGTTAAGTTGGGGTTCTGCTTGCATGCAGCCATGGGGACTCTCAGGGGTGTGATTGAAAAGGACTGGTTTTTAATTTTTTCACATAGAGTTCTCTTAACATTAGCATCTAAATCAGCCTGTTTCTCTATGGCACGTGGCCGTTCATGCTCCAGTGGTGCCAGAGGCCTTTTAGGGATCCATTGGTCGGTTGACTTTTTCCTGGGGGAGAGGGGTCTACTCAAAACCTGCCCTCCCCACCTGCGGGATGCTGGCCTCTGCACACTCCGGCCCGCTGCCTGGCCCGGCTCCCCTCCCGAGGCCTGATGTGTCCTGGCCTCCACCTCAGCTCCTTGCCCGGTTCCTGCACGGCTCCTGGGCCCACTGTTCACCCCCCGGTTTGCTCTGAGGACTGCACCCCAAGAGAGAAGGGCAGAGCTGGGTGCCTTCGGGCGTAAATGATGAGCCAGGCCCCCATTCTCTTGCCTTCGTTTGTGGAGGATTAGGAGGTACTTTCAGGGTGAGGAGTTTTGCTAATTTTAGTGTTAAAATGTCTTCTGGCCTGGGCCAACCCCCCCCCCCCCCACACACACACACACAGACTGCTGGTCCCTAGACCAATCAGAGAAGAATTTGGCAGCCACCAACAAAGGTCCACTAGCTTGGATGAGTTCACCATCAAATGGCTCACAGTGTTTTGTTTTGTTTTGTTTTTTAAACTTAGCTGATGCGCTAGCATGTTAGCAAAACGTGACACTTGTCCTTACAGCCAACCAGCCAATCAGAGACACATATGACACCCATCTACACAGCCAACCAGCGACACATGTGACACCCATCTACACAGCCAACCAGCCAATCAGAGAAGGGAGCTGGGGCTCACCCAGACAGGCTCCGGAGCTGGGACAGTGTCTCTTGCCAACAGCGGGCCCCGCCTCTGTTGGCCTTGCCCAAGGCCCCGCAGGTGCTCCTGATCCTCTGAGCGGAGCGGAGCACACCCCGGAGCCCGCAGGCCCCGCAGGCAGCCCCGGCCCAGGTGCAGCCACTTCCTCTCTCTCTCTCTCTGGCTGATCTCCCTGCCTTGCGGGGGTTTAACTCTACTTACCAGTAGGCCAGGCTCACGCAGTGTTTCCACCCGGTCTCACCACCCCCTCACCGTCCTGGAGGAGCGAGGGCTGGGCCCAGGCCGGGACACGAATCCCGCTTGTCTGCTCTCTCTGCCGAACTGCTCTCTCCCGAGCAGACGGACCTGTATGTGGGTGGCAGCCAGCCCGGTGCCTTCATTTGGTTGTTTCTTTCACACGCCAGGTCTGGTCACTTTAAAAGGGTCAGGGCTGAGTCTCAGTGGTGGTTGGGTGTCTTTGCACCCTCCCCCTGTGATGTGTGGGGGCGGGGCCTGGCAGACAGGCAGAGGAGGTGGCCCAGCGTGTGCTGGACTCCTCTCTACCCGGACAGTGCAGGGCGCCGCCCTCTGGGCAGCAGAGAAGACGCTGAGAGAGCCGACCCTGGGCCTGGGGACAGGGATGGTGGAGGGCACCTTTCATGGCCCAGAGGGGCCTGATATTGGGGAGACTCCCGCAGCCTTGGAGATACCAAGGGGAGGGAATTGCCAGGGAGAGCGCCCCAGGGAGGGAGCTTTGGGGGCACAGTGCTCCCTGCCTCGCTTCAGTCTCCTTGTGGGACCGGAGAGCTTTATAGAAGCTGTTACTCACCATGCATTTGTGTGTAGGTATGTAGCTTTGGCCTTTTTTTCACCTTTACACATAATTTTTTAAATCAGTTTTTCCCTAGTAGTTTTTTTTTTTAAGAGCAGTTTCAGGCCTATAGAAAATTTCACAAGCGTACAGAGAATTTCCATATGCCCCCAGGTACCCCTCCCCCCCGTTCCCCTCATTAGCAAAGTCTTGCCGTGGGTGGTCTTGGCTCCGTCAGAGGAACCGATGCTGATACATCGATTGACTCGGGCCCACGGTCACTTCGGCTTCTCACCATCATTATGGGCGCGCTCTGATGCGTGCAGACCGCGCGGGGAAGGCGGACATGGACGCCAAGCCCTCTGCTTCCCTGCTCACCTGCTCAAGCCCAGAGTTCCGGCGGGGTGTGGCTCTCCAGGTGTGCTGGCCCCCAGCGCTGCCCACACGTGGCGAAGAGCCAGGCTCCTTGCCCCCCAAACCCAGGCCCCAGCCCTAGGAGTACTGCTGCCGGGCACCATCCCCAGACTGCACCGGGGCCCGTCTTTGCCGCCCCAGCTTCTCTGGACATAACGGGCCACACAGACCCACCTCGGGGGCCGTTCTGGGATGCGGGTCCCCGGGCACCTGGGAAGGCCCTCTGCCCCCCCCCCCCCCCCCCCCCCCCCACCGCGAGAGTTCCCTTTTCACTTCCTCTGAGGGCAGGAGGCCTTTCCCTGTTCCCCCCAGTCATCCTCTGCCCTGGGCTCAAGATAGGAATCTCTCAGCCCAACGAGAGGACAATGCTGGGCAGGCTGGGGGGGTCCTGGCCATCCTCGCCAGGTACTCGATAAAGGATCCTGCCTCTGGGCTGAGGACACGCTCACTCTTCCTGTTCACCTCAGCCTTTTCTGACGCAGACACGAGCCCTGTGATTGTGACACTTACCCCCGAGTTTGCGGGGAGGATTCGGGCAGTAGGACCACGCTTGATGTCAGAAGCCCTTTTTGGCAACCGAATCCTCGGCCCTCGTCAAGGAGGACTGTCTCGAGTGAACTAATTTTAATTAGATAAACTACCCAATCAATATGGGAGCAGATCAATCAAAACAGCAGCTTTAAAATGAGTGGCCAGAGGGGTGTTTCCGAAGCTAATGGCTAGAAGAATATTCCTCCGAATTGAATTCACTTGTTAGCATAATAGGAGATTAAGCTGTAATTAGAGGAGCAGGTTTTCAAGAGCCTCAATCTCCAGGCAAAACCAAACCAAACAAAACCAAACCACCCGCCCACCCCCGTCCGCCAAAAAGAGCCGTGACCGCCGCTGGGCCTGGAGGCCCGCCCGGGCAGCCCCGGCTGAGGCTTCCGGTCGCCGATGCGGGCGGCGCCGTCCTCACCGGCTCCCGTTTCACATCTCCTTCCTCTCCGCAGGTTGTTGTGTCGACCACCGTCAATGTGGACGGCCACGTGCTGGCCGTGTCCGACAACATGTTTGTGCACAACAACTCCAAACACGGGCGGCGGGCGCGCCGCCTCGACCCGTCAGAAGGTACGGCCCCTTCTTATCTGGAAAATGGTAGGCACATGTTACATGTCTCTTTTTATTTGCAATGCTTCTTTTCCTTTGCACCATCCTTTCTGTTGGTTCATGTTGAGTTCCTGTCCCCAAATTCCCACCCCCGGCTGGTCGGGCCTCCCCCGTCATGCGCGGCCTGGCCTGGTGTTGCTCAGAGAGGCCCGGCCCCTCCCTCTCTCCTTGCCCTTATAGAGGGCTCAGCTTCTCCCCTCCCCTCCCCCACCATGGCCTTCACTGCATTGGTTTGTTTCTAAGCTTTTTTTTAATTTTTGATTTTTTTTTTTTTTTTTTTTTTTTTTTTGCTTAGAGTTTTCCTTGGAGTTTTAGTTTAGTATTTGGCTTTATTTTGGCTTATCCTCAGCCCCCATCCAGAAGGTCATCCCCACAGACTTGGTGCATGCTTCGGTGTGGGTGGTTACATCCTGGTCCCATCAGCTCAGGATGGAGTCCAGGACCATACCTTGTCCCTGGATAGGTGGATGGGTGGATGGAAGATGGATGGTGGATGGATGGAAGATGGATGGATGATGGGTGGATGGATGGGTGAATGGATGGAAGATGGGTGGATGGATAGATGGATTGATGGGTGGATGATGGATGGATGATGGATGGGTGAATGGATGGATGATGGGTGGATGGACAGAGGGGGGTGATTACCCATAGAGGCAGGGTGGAGTAGGTGAGAAACAATAGCCAAAGGTGTGTGTACCAAATGCTTCCACTTGACTTCTTGCTTTGCCTGTTGAAAGAGACTGACTGTAGTAAGAGAGACAGGCAGGGGCAGGAACTCGGGCAATGAGCCAGAACTCAGAAACCCTGACTCCGTGGCCTTGGCCACGCCCCTCCCTCACGTGCTGCCGTGCCTGTGGGCTGAGGCCTTTCGGCCAGTGTGAACTGTTGAGAGAGTAACGTGAGGTTTTCTTTAAGTGACTTGTAAAGAAAACAGCACAATCCAATCCTCTGGAGCAAAGAGCCCGTCAGGCCACGGGGCTGTGGGCAGAGCCTCCCTCCCGAGGCCTCCGAGTCAGGAGCCACACGCGAGGCAGCGCACACACATCCTAGGGAAACGCACGGAGCACGTGCAGACGATCCGGGCGAAGCGTGACTCAGACCCGAGCACTGAGGCCAGGGTGTGAATCTGCTGTGGCCCACAGAAATAAACTCATTTGTTTTCCCCGTTAATGACTGAGGTGTGAGAGAACAAAAATATAATAATTAAAGGTCGCCTTGGGCGCCCAGTCATTAGCATCGGTGACGCACTGTTTATCTCCTTCCTGTGCGCTGAAGGTAGGTGTGTGTTTTGCCTAGCAACCAGCACTAATGAGGCTCACAATTAAGAGGGCTGAGTCCCCGGCCTTGGTCCCCACTTCCCCAGAGAGCCCCAGCTCGCCACGCGATAGGCTCCGGAGGCCCCTCGGCCCTCTGGTGCTGGGCTGTCGTCTGGGTCCAAAACCAGCCTCCTCTAATGAGCCGTTAGGATCTGAGCGAAGTACAAGTATTTATTTTTGTAAGTGGCGTGAGAAGAGCATTTGACCGTGAGCAGAAAACACAGCGTTTAGAAAAACAAAGGCCATGCGCGCAGGCCCCTTCGAGGTGGAACCCAACTCATCAGAAGCCGTTAGCAGAAGCGGCGTTGATCAGGATCTGCTTTTGTTGTAAATGCCTGTGTCTCAGTCCTTTTTGAAACCAACGTTCGAACCACGTCCCCCTCTCTTGCAAGGAGAGCGAGCTACCTGTCCCACCCCACAGGGCGGCCCCTCATTGTCAGGAGCCACGTGGGCTAGGTCTTCCCGGAACCAGCCCCAGCAGCCAGGTGTCGGCTGGCCCCAGTGCCCCACGGAGCACACCAGCCCCTCTCTCTCTCGGAGGAAGAGAGACCCACCCTGTGATCCTGTCCCTTCCGGGGAGAGCTGGCTCTTAGGGGCTCATTGCAGGGTCCGGCCACCTCGTCCCAAAGCCCAGGGACCTCCGTCCACCCGACCGGGACGCCGAGCAGGGGGTGGGGGTGGAGGGGGTGCCGGCTCCGAGGCCGCCCCACAGGCTCGAAGGAGAAAGTAACCCCACAAACCGCAGGCGTTGCCGTGCGCAGCCTCTCCCGGCTAACACCTCATTATCCAATCATCTCATATTCACCGGCCGTGTGTACACACTCGCCGATGGCTTCCAAGCAGACGCATTCCCCCTGCTGTCGCCCTGGACGCCTGCCACCGCGTCCCCCGCACGCACGGGGAGCGAGGCCGGGTATTTACAGTATTGAACGCGGGCGCGGGGCGGGCTGCCCGCCTTCCCGCGCGCAGGCCGGCCTCCCTCTTCTCTCTCCTGTCGCTTGTCCCCCGTCAGGGGCTCCAGCCCCGCTTACAGCTCAGCCCGGCCGGCCGCGCGCGGCGATTTGCATGCCAAGCGCCGTAATGCGGTTAGGTTTATGCAATAAGGAGGGCCGGGCCCAGGCGGCGGGGCTTTCTCGGGCGGAGGGGAACAGATGGCCCTAGGAGAGGTAAAAGGTATAATCCTATCAGCTGGAGTATCAGCCAGCCATCTGGACATCCCGAGCACAATTACAAGACATTTTAGCAGGCAGAACAAAGGAGTCTTCGCGAGGCGAGATTAGGCCTGTTTGAGTGCCTCAATATTGTGAATGCGGAGAGAGGTGAAGGGTGCGGGGGTATCGCTCTGGCTGATTAGCGGGGACCAGGACGGAGGCTGAGGACACACGGAACACTGGATGTGGTAGTGAGACACCCTACCCCCCCTCCCCCCCCCAAAAAAAGGGGAAAAAAAAGAAAAAAGAAAAAGAAAGGAAAGGCAAAATCAAGGGTTCCGGTCACTCATGCCATCCGGTGTCAAGTTCCCTCACTTTTGTTCCTGGAAATCTGGGCACCCCCCTTCCCCCTCAGGCGCACCGGTCCACGTGGGGGTCTGCGGTGGAGCACACGGAAGATCAAGGCCAAGAGGGCTCTTAGCCAGCGCCTCTTCTGGCGAGCAGGCCCAGAGGCTCCTCGGAGTTAAAAATGGGTCACTGTGGCACACGTCGGATCCACGGGGAGGCACGCCCGCCTCCTCTCTCAGAGCCGGGCAGCCACGGGCACAGGAGGGCTCCCAGGCCAGGACGTGCCTTCAGGACCGCTTCCCACATGGGCCCCGGGAGAGAGAGATGGGGGTCCCAGGAGAGAGATGGGGGCCCTGGGGGGCTCCCTCCCCCCTCCCACCGGGCCCTGCTCCTCTCCTGCACCTTCAGCTGGCGTGCCAGCTCCGTCATCTGCCGGCGAGCATTGTGCACGTCTATCATTAGATCTCCAACGCCGTCTGTGTAATTCATTTCGCCATGGTCCCCACTGAACACATGTTCCCTCTCTATATGTGCATTGAAATGTATGCAAATCACGGGCAGCAGGAAGATGGCTATCGGTGGGCGGCGCGGGGGCTGGGCCGGGCCGGGTGCCTCCCCGCCCGGCGGCCCCGCACATTGCATTCCGCGATGTGCCGTCCGAGGCCGCAGCTGCCAGATAGCAGTCCCCTTGCGTGCGCGCCGCACAGCCCAGGTTTTTTTCTTTTTTTTTTTCCCCTCCCTTCTCCTTCTCCTTCTTTTCTCACCTCCAAAGTAAATTTGTTTACTGTAATTTTTTTTGGTGTGAATTATTTGCCATAATTGGCTGTGCTGATGAAGGTCACCCCCTTGGAGGAGACTTGTCAGTCTTTAGAGAGCTGATCCTTTTCAAATGCTCTCCATGCAATTAAGAAAAGCAAATGTCATTCGGAAGCCTCAGAAATGAAAATTTGTATGAACTTATTAGCATGAAGTCAACAGCGCTAGTTAAGGGCGGGCTCCCAGTGTGTGCTCTGCGCTCCCGCGGCAGAGGGGGCTGCTGGCGGAATGAGCAAATATAACCCCCGCCAGCCCGACATTAGAGCAAACAAAAGAAGGTGGCATGTCGGCGGGCTGCCCGACAACAATAGCTAATGGTGATTAACTAGACGGCGTCCGCCGCGGGCCGCCATGACCCGGCGGGGAGCTGCCGCGCAGGCTTCCGGAAAACGCCCGCTTAGGAGGGCGTGCGGCCGCGGCTGGCCCGGAGCCTGGAGAGATGATTTATCTGACGGGGGCCGTGCGGAACGGGGGCCCCGATGAGATGAGCAGTGGGATCAGGCCCTGCCGTAGCCTTGGGGAGCCCCGTCTGTGCACACAGCCCAGGGAGCAATCAGGCACCTGGCGGCTGGGGGGAGCCCCCCTCAGTCCCCCAAGATTAGTGATACCTTGGACAGAGGTGCTCAGAGGTTCCTCCATCCACGGCTCGTCTTTGCACCCGCCCTGCAAGCTGGGAGGGAGAGGGGACAGGCCCTGGGGTGGCCCAGGGCGGGGTGCGGCTCCTCCTCTCTGTGGATGGAGGATGGGGGCCTGGGCCGCCTACTCCCTCCGGACGGCATCAGGCAGGAGTCCTGGCAAGTCCTGGGGGCCGCCCGCACCAGCCCACAGGCCTCCACCTGTTCTTTGGGCACCAAAGGGCGAGAGGGAGAGAGGGAGGGTGGGCCTGGAGTCCCAGGACAGCACCAGCTAGTCAGGGGAGGCCCTGCCAGTGACACGTGTGTGCCCTGAGCAGGGAGGGGCAGCCAGTGTGCCCAAGGAGCCCCTCCTTGGCATGGGGCCTGCCTACCAAAGGCCATCAAAGGCAGGAGACAAGGTCTGCCACCGCCTCGCCGAGGGGCTGATCAAAGAACAGAACAAAGCCGCCTCCAGGAGGCCGCAGCCTTCAGCCGGCCCGGCCTCCACCCGGGGCCTCCTGCCTGCCTGCCCCCTGGCCTCTCTCCCCCCCTGCCCTCCCGCTACCACCCTCCCTCCCCTCCCTCCAGCAGGCCAGGCCTGCAGTGCGTGGTAATAACTCATGCAAATGCGAGGGCTTGGGAGACAAAGAGAGGTCAGGCCCTCGGCTCGGGGATTCCTGTTGACAAACAATACTGAATGTAAAACGTGTACCTTTGACAAAAGTATTAATAGAGAGCGCCTTTGATCCCCCCCCCCCATGAAAAGCGAAAAGTGGTCATTGTGGAGTGACAGAGGAAAATGAAGTTTAACCGAAAGGCCAAGTTCGCGGACGGAAAGCCCAACCCCATTAGCTGCTCCCGAGGAGTGGGGTGCCGGGCCCCCCAGCCCCTTCAGCCCTTTGATTGGCTCTGCCCAGACCCGGACGGCGGGGCAGACAGATCGGCGTGCGGCATGCACGCGGCCTAATCATTTGTAATCGTCGTGTTTGCCCTGACACGCAATGTGCTATTTTTTTTTTCCTTCTTGCTCACGCGCAGGCTGCGGCCTGGCCTCTGCTTTATAAAACATTTAACTGTTTGCTTTAAACACATGGGCGCGCTGATGTACGGTCGCCCTCCGCGTGGCGCCCGGGGGTAGGGCCCACCTCCCCGCCTGCCCGCCTTGTGCGGGCCCAGGCGGCCGAGGGGGGTGAGCGCCGAGGGGCGTGGCCGGCCGCGCGCTGAGGCTGCCTTCTCTGTCTTGTGCGAGCAGCCACTCCGTGCATCAAGGCCATCAGTCCCAGCGAGGGCTGGACCACGGGCGGCGCCACCGTCATCATCATCGGGGACAACTTCTTCGACGGCCTGCAGGTGGTGTTCGGCACGATGCTGGTGTGGAGCGAGGTGAGCCTGCCCATGGGGCGCTGCGGGAGCTTTCCCCGGGGGCGGGGGGGGGGGGTGGACGGCACAGACCCAAGCGCCGGAGGGCAAATTTCCTGTTCCCTGCCGTTCCCCGGTGTGTGGGGGAGGTGCAGAATGCCCCCCGCCCAGCCCTGGGGTTCCAGCCCTGTCCTAGGAGGGCCCCCCTGACACTGGAACAGCCGGGGGCCTGCATCACCAGAGCAGGTTGCTGGGGACATATGGTGGCAATTTTCATATGAATGATGCCCTGTGGCCTTTCCTGCAAACTAAAACCCGGGCCCGATTGCAGACCTCTTCCTGAGAGAGCTCTGGTCCCGCCCCTCCAGGCGACAGCGGGGAGCGGGCGCTCCGAGACAGCGGCCCCATTTTGCTCATTTTGGTAATTATGCCCGACCGGCGAGGGCCCCCCTCCCTGAAAGCCCGCCCGCCGTGTGGTTTTTGCAGCTGATCACGCCCCACGCCATCCGCGTCCAGACCCCGCCGAGGCACATTCCCGGCGTCGTGGAGGTCACCCTGTCCTACAAGTCCAAGCAGTTCTGCAAAGGCGCTCCCGGCCGCTTCGTCTACACCGGTGAGTGCCCCCGCACGGCGGCGTGGCCGAGCGGGGCCGCCCCTCAGGACAGCACACGTGGGGGGGCACACGCAGAGGCTGGGGCGGCCTCGGACCCAGGGCTCTGCCAGCGGCAGTGTCCGACCCCAGCCGCGCTGCGGAGACGCCGGGGACAGTACGGCCCAGCCGGCCGTGTGACCTGGGCCTCAGTCTCCTCGCCTGGACAGCCAGGCTGGGGCGGGAGGGCTGGTTATTGGTAACAGGTCACCCCAGCTAACCTCCCGGGGCCGCCCAGTGAGGTCACCGCCGCTCATGTGCATGAGGCCAAACTCAGAGGCTAAGTCACACAGCCTGTAACCGAGGGGCCTCCGGCTTAGGCCGGTCTCTGTGCTAGGCCCGGGGTACACATGTGCCGTACGCCGCTTCTGCGAGGGTTTTGGAGGAGCCGGTGCCATCGGGACGGCTGCAGTGACGGTTTGGTACCAGAACGTTGCTTGGTTGGTGGGATTCCTTCGAGCTCACTGTGGGGAGACGCCGTGTATAAGCGTGAGCCGTGTGAGGGCTCGGTTTCTGTCCTGGCCGAGAGCAAACACTGTCATGTCTGAGAGGTGTGTCTAGCGAAGGGCAGCCCCTGCTGACACCCAGGAGGGGGACGTGGACGAGAGCTCGGCCCCGGGAGTTGTGGCCGGGATGCGCACGGAGGCGGCGAGCGGCCCCCGAGGGAGCCTGGGCTGGGGCTCCACAAGCTGCCACCAGCGGCAGGACCCCGGCAGGCCTGGGCTCCCGCCAGGAAGGCTGTCCTCTGTCCAGGGGCAGGTGACGTGGGCTCTGGGTCCCTCCTACTTTGGAGTGTGAAGGGGGGGGTGCCTCACCACCCTGATTTTAGGGACCGAGTGAGTGTGACATGCAGAGTGTAAATGCTTTCAGCACCCACTTTCCAGGAGACCAGGTCACCCCGGGCCAGCTGGGCTGCCAGCAACACCTGGTCCTTGATGGGGGAGGGTGCCTTCTCTTTGACCCCTCAGCACCCCTCCATCTGGCCAGGGTGTGTGCGGGGGTACCTGCCCCACACCAGGGGTCACTTCCTCCCCAGGACTAGCACGTCCTTCCCCTCCCCCTGCAAGCCCAGAGCTGCCCAAAACCCAGGACAAGTGCGTTGGCAAAAAAGCTATGGGTGGTGTGCCGGCCCCTCCTGGTCTGGTGCTCTTGGCTCCTGGGAAAGCCAGGGATGGAGGGGGCAGCCGGGCAGCTGGTGGGGCTCCCAGTGTGTGGAAAGGGGCAGACACGCAGAGGGCTGTAGGCTGGCATTCGGAGAGCACGTGCCCACACTTCAGCAGGAGACCGCGTGCCTCTTCGCCAACTGCTGGCCAGGGGGCTGCGCGTCTCTGCGTCTCTGGCCGTGAACTTCAGGCTGCGGAGGCAGTGGGACTCCCTCTGCTCTGTTTGGTGTTCGCCGGGGGCCTGGCGTCGGGCTCCAACCTGAGTGCCACTTCTGCTGGCCCCACCTGCGGGTTTGTGAGGGTCAAGGGGCACTTAGGGCATGTCCAACCCCTGGGGAGTGGTACCCGCTGAGCAGTGCCTCCTGTGGACGGTTTCCAAGGTACAACTGCTGTCGGGGTCCTGAGTCCCTCAAAGAAGGGGACCTTTGTTCTCCACTGAGAGCCATGTCACCTGTCTGCCACGTGACACATGGTCCTCCACCTGTCTGCCACGTGACACATGCTCCTCCATGTGTCTGCCAAGTGACACATGCTCCTCCATGTGTCTGCCACGTGACACACACGACACATACTCCTCCACGTGTCTGCCACGTGACACACATGACACACACTCCTCCATGTGTCTGCCACGTGACACACACGACACATACTCCTCCACATGTCTGCCACGTGACACGCTCCTCCACGTGTCTGCCACGTGACACATGGTCCTCGGTCGCGTTGGGGCACCAAAGGGAGCGTGGATCTATGTGGCAAGACCGACCTGCTCCGCACAGACGTGGATGTGAGACTGCTTGTTCCATGGGACTGTCAGGCCCTCGGGGTTCAGTCCGTCTGTCTCCGCCCCCACCCTCACCCCATGGGCCTCAGTGGGTCCTGTGTTGACCTTGGCATTCAGATTTCCCCACACGGGGGCTTTTCAGGGGAGATGGGCTGGCTGTGAGCGATGCTCCTCTTTTCTGAGGACTCTGGTCCCGGGGGAGAGCAGGGCACTGGGCTGGGCATCGTGAACAAAGGTGCCTTTGGAAAACGCGCCTGGAGGAGCCACCAATGGGCGGCCAATGGGTGTCGCATGGCGAGGGCCTGCTCCAGGGCCAGTGTGAGGGGTAGGTGTCCGAGCAGCTCTCTCTGACACCCTCTTTAAAAAAAAATGTTTTTATTGATCTTTTAGAGAAGGGGAAGGGGGGGAGAGAGTGGGATAGGGAGATACAAACATTGATGAGAGATAAACATCATCAATTGGCTGCCTCCTACGCGCCCCCCCCCCCCCCCCCCCGGAGATGGAGCCCACAGCCCGGCATGTGGCCTGATTGGAGGCGAACAGCGGCCTCTTGGATCCTGGGTGGATGCTCAACTGCTGAGCTATACCGGCCGGGCTTGGCCACCTCTGTGCCCTCCAGCCGGCCAGGACCCCTGCCTTGGCCAGCCACCACCTCTGGGAGTTCTGGGGTGTCCTACGCCGCCCCCCTCCATGGCGAGGGGCTTAGCCCTGAGTCCGGCCCATCAGCCACCCGGTGGCCCGTCCATCTCCCATTCCCCGTGGACATGGCGTCCCCTGTAAGCGGACAGGCTGGCCGGGCCCGGCGTTCAAGGACCCGGGACTCTCTCCACGGAGTTCTCCCACGGAGGGGCCTTCAATGGGGCCATTCAGCGAGCGGCCTCTGCGAACAGCAGCTAATTTATCGCCTCCCCCACCCCGGTCATTAACGGGAATATACATTTCAAACGCCCTGTAAGGGATACGGCCTGCGTTCCCCGGGAGCCGAGGCGAGGCGGGGTCACAGCCTGTCTGACCTGGAAGCTGCTGTCTGACTCGCGCTGCCCTGGAATTGATGGGGACAAAGAGTAATCACTGGGAACCGCGCCCCTGAAAGCCGATCCCGCCTCTGCATGGGGCTCAGGGCGGCCCCGCAGGGAGGGCACCGTCCCCTGGGCATCTGGCTCCCATCAGGTCCCCCCCCCCCCACCTGCCCGAGGAGCCCCGCCCGCAGGGGCGAAGGCCCAAGATCGTGGTCTGCAAACTGCGGCTTGAAAGCCACATGCGGCTCTTTGGCCCCTTGAGTGTGGCTCTTCCACAAGATACCACGGCCTGGGCGAGTCTCTGTTGAAGAAGTGGCGTTAGAAGAAGCTTAAGTTTAAAAAATGTGGCTCTCCAAAGACATGTCAGTCTTGTGCTGTTGATGGTTGGCTCTGTGGACTCATGAGTTTGCCGACCCCTGGCCTAAGGGATCTGTGTACGGGGATCCGAGAAACACCAGGTCTTCAGGGAAGGGGAGGCGCGGCCAGGCCCATCTGCCGGGCCCCTCGGCCTTCTCTTGCTCTAGAGCACATGTGTCAAACACAAGGCCCGCGGGCCAAATCCGTCCCGCCAGGCCTTGCAATGTGGCCCTCACCGCGCTGTCATCACTGCACTCCGCTGCGTTTCCATCACAATGACAGTTTATGACTGTTCAGTAAACCATTCGGCCCGCGATTTAGGCTGGATTTTAGATTTTGGCCCCTTCTCTGATTGAGTTCGACACCCCTACTCTAGAGACATGACTGCGGAAGCAGTGGCCGTTGGGTTGATCAGCGGGCGAATTGAAAGAGCGAGTAGCAGGCGTCCTGTCCGGCTCCTCGATGCCAGGCCGGCGCATTCCCAGCGAGCCTCACCCCTGTTGTGAGGAGGTCAGGGATGAGAGAGAGAGAGCGAGAGCCGTTTCCAAGCGGCTAGCACTTAGGAGCAGAATTAACAATCACTCTGTATGTAATTGCCAGTTAATAGTAAATTGCCTCCTAGACTGTAAAATGCGGTGTAAACGCCGGGCACCTAAAATTAAATTAATGAGATATTCGCCGCGCTCAAAGAGTGAAGAGTGCAAATTAATACCTGAGAGCCGGGCTTGTTTTAATATTTGTCTAATCACGTCGCAGCTGCTTGTTTAATAATAATTAACGCGGTCCCGGCACGGCCTACCTGAGCCGGGCACGCTCGCCGGGAAGACCGGCCCGCCTCCCGCCCCTCACTTCCCCGGAGAAGCCCGTCCCATCAGCAGGGCCACAGAGTTGTTCTTCTTCTTCTTCTTTTTTTTTTAATGTATATTTTATTGATTTTTTTACAAAGAGGAAGAGAGAGGGATAGGGAGTTAGAAACATCGATGAGAGAGAAACATCGACCAGCTGCCTCCTGCACATTCCCCACTGGGGATGTGCCCACAACCAATGTACATGCCCTTGACCGGAATCAAACCTGGGACCCTTCAGTCTGCAGGCGGGCGCTCTGTCCACTGAGCCAGACCTGTTTCGGCCACAGAATTCTTTTTTAATGACAATAGAAGCGTTGCAGTGCTGTTGGACGGAGACAAACCGGAATTGTCGGCTTCGCACGGAAGCGATGTGAGCGTGGACGCTCCCTTGGCAGCCACGTGTCCAGGTGTCCTTGCCCGAGTGCGCCCGTGACCGGAGGTGTCCGTTGGGCGGGACGGGTTCCCGGCACACAAAGCAGAGAAGCCCCTGGGGGGTGGCGAGCCCTCCGGCATGGCTCCCCGGGACACCAGGGTCACCCGAGGCAGCTCCTGCTCTTGACCTCTGGGACCCCAATGTCTGGCTGACCCTCCCTCCTTTCAGAGATTTCTTTTGCTCGGTTAAAGAAATCAGACATTACCGGGCGTCCACGCACCAGCCGCCACGGGGCCGAGCCCGGTCAGAAGGGAGATGTTGCCGCCGGTGGTGACCACGTCCAGGCGGGCGCAGACAGATGGAGCTTGTCTGCCGGGCGCAGCTCCGGCTCAGGCCTGCAGTCTGCTCCAGGCCAGGGCCGGG